GTCGGGTCAGGTTGGGTCGGGCCAGGTTGGGTCGGGCCAGGTTGGCTGACTCGACCGGGCCTGACCCAACCTAACCAGACCAGGTCGGGTTGGGTCAGGTTGGGTCAGGCCAAGTGGTATACATGTAGAGCATTCTTGCTGGAAGTGTAGTAGTAGTAGTAGTAGTAGTAGTAGTAGTAGTAGTAGTAGTAGTAGTAGTAGTAGTAGTAGTAGTAGTAGTAGTAGTAGTAGTAGTAGTAGTAGTAGTAGTAGTAGTAGTAGTAGTAGTAGTAGTAGTAGTAGTAGTAGTAGTAGTAGTAGTAGTAGTAGTAGTAGTAGTAGTAGTAGTAGTAGTAGTAGTAGTAGTAGTAGTAGTAGTAGTAGTAGTAGTAGTAGTAGTAGTAGTAGTAGTAGTAGTAGTAGTAGTAGTAGTAGTAGTAGTAGTAGTAGTAGTGTAGTAGTAGTAGTAGTAGTAGTAGTAGTAGTAGTAGTAGTAGTAGTAGTAGTAGTAGTAGTAGTAGTAGTAGTAGTAGTAGTAGTAGTAGTAGTAGTAGTAGTAGTAGTAGTAGTAGTAGTAGTAGTAGTAGTAGTAGTAGTAGTAGTAGTAGTAGTAGTAGTAGTAGTAGTAGTAGTAGTAGTAGTAGTAGTAGTAGTAGTAGTAGTAGTAGTAGTAGTAGTAGTAGTAGTAGTAGTAGTAGTAGTAGTAGTAGTAGTAGTAGTAGTAGTAGTAGTAGTAGTAGTAGTAGTAGTAGTAGTAGTAGTAGTAGTAGTAGTAGTAGTAGTAGTAGTAGTAGTAGTAGTAGTAGTAGTAGTAGTAGTAGTAGTAGTAGTAGTAGTAGTAGTAGTAGTAGTAGTAGTAGTAGTAGTAGTAGTAGTAGTAGTAGTAGTAGTAGTAGTAGTAGTAGTAGTAGTAGTAGTAGTAGTAGTAGTAGTAGTAGTAGTAGTAGTAGTAGTAGTAGTAGTAGTAGTAGTAGTAGTAGTAGTAGTAGTAGTAGTAGTAGTAGTAGTAGTAGTAGTAGTAGTAGTAGTAGTAGTAGTAGTAGTAGTAGTAGTAGTAGTAGTAGTAGTAGTAGTAGTAGTAGTAGTAGTAGTAGTAGTAGTAGTAGTAGTAGTAGTAGTAGTAGTAGTAGTAGTAGTAGTAGTAGTAGTAGTAGTAGTAGTAGTAGTAGTAGTAGTAGTAGTAGTAGTAGTAGTAGTAGTAGTAGTAGTAGTAGTAGTAGTAGTAGTAGTAGTAGTAGTAGTAGTAGTAGTAGTAGTAGTAGTAGTAGTAGTAGTAGTAGTAGTAGTAGTAGTAGTAGTAGTAGTAGTAGTAGTAGTAGTAGTAGTAGTAGTAGTAGTAGTAGTAGTAGTAGTAGTAGTAGTAGTAGTAGTAGTAGTAGTAGTAGTAGTAGTAGTAGTAGTAGTAGTAGTAGTAGTAGTAGTAGTAGTAGTAGTAGTAGTAGTAGTAGTAGTAGTAGTAGTAGTAGTAGTAGTAGTAGTAGTAGTAGTAGTAGTAGTAGTAGTAGTAGTAGTAGTAGTAGTAGTAGTAGTAGTAGTAGTAGTAGTAGTAGTAGTAGTAGTAGTAGTAGTAGTAGTAGTAGTAGTAGTAGTAGTAGTAGTAGTAGTAGTAGTAGTAGTAGTAGTAGTAGTAGTAGTAGTAGTAGTAGTAGTAGTAGTAGTAGTAGTAGTAGTAGTAGTAGTAGTAGTAGTAGTAGTAGTAGTAGTAGTAGTAGTAGTAGTAGTAGTAGTAGTAGTAGTAGTAGTAGTAGTAGTAGTAGTAGTAGTAGTAGTAGTAGTAGTAGTAGTAGTAGTAGTAGTAGTAGTAGTAGTAGTAGTAGTAGTAGTAGTAGTAGTAGTAGTAGTAGTAGTAGTAGTAGTAGTAGTAGTAGTAGTAGTAGTAGTAGTAGTAGTAGTAGTAGTAGTAGTAGTAGTAGTAGTAGTAGTAGTAGTAGTAGTAGTAGTAGTAGTAGTAGTAGTAGTAGTAGTAGTAGTAGTAGTAGTAGTAGTAGTAGTAGTAGTAGTAGTAGTAGTAGTAGTAGTAGTAGTAGTAGTAGTAGTAGTAGTAGTAGTAGTAGTAGTAGTAGTAGTAGTAGTAGTAGTAGTAGTAGTAGTAGTAGTAGTAGTAGTAGTAGTAGTAGTAGTAGTAGTAGTAGTAGTAGTAGTAGTAGTAGTAGTAGTAGTAGTAGTAGTAGTAGTAGTAGTAGTAGTAGTAGTAGTAGTAGTAGTAGTAGTAGTAGTAGTAGTAGTAGTAGTAGTAGTAGTAGTAGTAGTAGTAGTAGTAGCAGCAGCAGCAGCAGCAGCAGCAGCAGCAGCAGCAGCAGCAGCAGCAGCAGCAGCAGCAGCAGCAGCAGCAGCAGCAGCAGCAGCAGCAGCAGCAGCAGCAGCAGCAGCAGCAGCAGCAGCAGCAGCAGCAGCAGCAGCAGCAGCAGCAGCAGCAGCAGCAGCAGCAGCAGCAGCAGCAGCAGCAGCAGCAGCAGCAGCAGCAGCAGCAGCAGCAGCAGCAGCAGCAGCAGCAGCAGCAGCAGCAGCAGCAGCAGCAGCAGCAGCAGCAGCAGCAGCAGCAGCAGCAGCAGCAGCAGCAGCAGCAGCAGCAGCAGCAGCAGCAGCAGCAGCAGCAGCAGCAGCAGCAGCAGCAGGAGCAGTAGCAGTAGCAGTAGCAGTAGCAGTAGCAGTAGCAGTAGCAGTAGCAGTAGCAGTAGCAGTAGCAGTAGCAGTAGTAGTAGTAGTAGTAGTAGTAGTAGTAGTAGTAGTAGTAGTAGTAGTAGTAGTAGTAGTAGTAGTAGTAGTAGTAGTAGTAGTAGTAGTAGTAGTAGTAGTAGTAGTAGTAGTAGTAGTAGTAGTAGTAGTAGTAGTAGTAGTAGTAGTAGTAGTAGTAGTAGTAGTAGTAGTAGTAGTAGTAGTAGTAGTAGTAGTAGTAGTAGTAGTAGTAGTAGTAGTAGTAGTAGTAGTAGTAGTAGTAGTAGTAGTAGTAGTAGTAGTAGTAGTAGTAGTAGTAGTAGTAGTAGTAGTAGTAGTAGTAGTAGTAGTAGTAGTAGTAGTAGTAGTAGTAGTAGTAGTAGTAGTAGTAGTAGTAGTAGTAGTAGTAGTAGTAGTAGTAGTAGTAGTAGTAGTAGTAGTAGTAGTAGTAGTAGTAGTAGTAGTAGTAGTAGTAGTAGTAGTAGTAGTAGTAGTAGTAGTAGTAGTAGTAGTAGTAGTAGTAGTAGTAGTAGTAGTAGTAGTAGTAGTAGTAGTAGTAGTAGTAGTAGTAGTAGTAGTAGTAGTAGTAGTAGTAGTAGTAGTAGTAGTAGTAGTAGTAGTAGTAGTAGTAGTAGTAGTAGTAGTAGTAGTAGTAGTAGTAGTAGTAGTAGTAGTAGTAGTAGTAGTAGTAGTAGTAGTAGTAGTAGTAGTAGTAGTAGTAGTAGTAGTAGTAGTAGTAGTAGTAGTAGTAGTAGTAGTAGTAGTAGTAGTAGTAGTAGTAGTAGTAGTAGTAGTAGTAGTAGTAGTAGTAGTAGTAGTAGTAGTAGTAGTAGTAGTAGTAGTAGTAGTAGTAGTAGTAGTAGTAGTAGTAGTAGTAGTAGTAGTAGTAGTAGTAGTAGTAGTAGTAGTAGTAGTAGTAGTAGTAGTAGTAGTAGTAGTAGTAGTAGTAGTAGTAGTAGTAGTAGTAGTAGTAGTAGTAGTAGTAGTAGTAGTAGTAGTAGTAGTAGTAGTAGTAGTAGTAGTAGTAGTAGTAGTAGTAGTAGTAGTAGTAGTCAAAGAACTTTATTGAAAATCCATGATAATGTGATCGGAAAGATGATGGAAGAAAAATCCGAACTCGAATCAAATCCAGGCAATTATTAGCAGTCACCACTATCAAAGTAGTAGTACTTTTCACCGCTGTGGAGTTGCCCAGTCCACTATTCCTCCCTCCAGCTGGTTTCTTTTTACCTGGAGAACCGGCCATTGCGTTGTTGTTTCGGCTCGCTTTCCGTGCCTTCGCCTTTGGCCTTGGATCAGCTGGCTTGCTGTGCTGTGCTTCGCGGCTGGGTGCTTTCCCGCGTGGTCTGTGACGACTGACGTGCAGGCTGCTCTTCACACCTCGAGTCTCTTCGCGCCTTCTTCTGGCCGTGCTCGTGTATGCACAGTAACTGAAGTCCGCAGCTGTCTTTCTATGAGCCCAGCCCAGCACGGCGTCCTTCAGGGTCGCACGTCTGGTCGCACGTCTGGCGTTCTAGCTTTGATCTTGAAGTCAACAGTGCCCCTTTTGTCTTGTCCTGAACTGCTCTGGTGGGATCATAATAACGGTACATTCACAACATGACTTACAGGTATTGTAATTTGGTTGTGGCGTTGAACAGCCCGGCAGGAAGGTGAACAAGTTGATTACTTGTCAAACCCCTGGGAGATCAAAGTAGAATTTTGATAGGATGTATATCACTTCCTGGAAGAATTTCTTATTACTCTATTTGGCATCTCAGAGGAGAAGGACAACCTGCTACGAGTTATGACTAGGGATTATTATTATTTATACAAAAGAGAAAGTAGAAAGGAAAAGGACATATGGAAACGAGTTAAGAGTAACTCTCCACGACTGTAACTAGATACTATATACAGTCAGAAAGTGCAACAACTAGGCACAAAACTGACAGAGTACTGAGACATTCGACGTCCTGACACCTAGCTTCAACACATCTCCGTAGCGCTAACCGACAGACTTCCAACTTGGAAGGTTCAAGGTTATGGAAAGACCAAAGAGGGGAAGGCAAGCGCAACGAAAACGAGCACAAGCTACAGTCCCAACGGAACAAAGAATGTCGATTGTCACTGGACGATGACGAGACCAGTAGGCGATTTGACAAAGCGGTCTAACTACAATTCGAAGCAGCAAAGCAGCACACCACCCAACTTGGGTGGGTCAAAAATATCAAAGATAAATTAAGAAGGGGGAAGCTTTGCGAGAACGAATTGTACAAGCCGAAATCTAAACTCCTACAGTACTCCTCATGCATGACATTGTGATGGACTAGTTGACTACAAAACAAGTTGTTTCACACGACGTAAGTTTCGCCGTATGGTTCGTGACGGCTCATCAGGTGTGCAATTTGAAACTCGTCATCGTCCAGTGACAATCGACATTCTTTGTTCCGTTGGGACTGTAGCTTGTGCTCGTTTTCGTTGCGCTTGCCTTCCCCTCTTTGGTCATTTCATAACCTTGAACCTTCCAAGTTGGAAGGCTGTCAGTTAGCGCTACGGAGATGTGTTGAAGCTAGGTGTCAGGACGTCGAATGTCTCAGTACTCTGTCAGTTTTGTGCCTAGTTGTTGCACTTTCTGACTGTATATAGTATCTAGTTACAGTGGTGGAGAGTTACTCTTAACTCGTTTCCATATGTCCTTTTCCTTTCTACTTTTATTATTGGCTCAATACCCGAGTTACAAAAGAGAAAGATTATTTTAAAAAGAATCGGCACTCAAAGAAAGTTTAAAGTCGGATACAGAGCGAGTAATAAAATGTAAAAAAGAGAAGAAACACCTGAGAACGAGTTATGCAGCAACTATCCACGACGGTAACGAGATGATAAACGGTCAGAAAGTGCGATAGTAGGGCACACAACTGACAGGCTACTGAGACATTCAGCGACCCGAGACCTAGCTCTAACACATCTCCAGTGCGCAAACCAACAGCCTTCCAACTTGGAAGGTTCATGGTTAAGTAGGACCGAAGAGGGGAAGGTGAGCGCAGCGAAAATGAGCGAGACATATTCCGGGCCTTGTTCCGCTCAGATTTGTAATGGGTGAGCTTGTCAAGAGTGGGGTACTTCTTATACTGGATGTGAGAGGCGTCGGAAGCGAACTGTGGCCCGTTATCGCTGACGAAGATGTCCGGATAGCCGTGGACAGCAAATATACTCTTCAGGTGAGTGATGACGGCCCGTGATATAGTCGATGAGAGACAAGCGACATCAATGTAACGGGAGAAATAGTCGACGGTAATCAGGTACTGGCGGCCGTCGACATCACAGAGATCCGATGCAATACGCTGCCACGGACGCTCGGGGAACGGAGTTGTCTAAAGAGGCTCTGGAGACTGATGACGCTGCTTGATACAGGTAGTGCACTTGGCGACGTACGCCTTGATGTCGGCAGAGACACCAGGCCCCCACGACGAGAAGCGGGCACAGACTTTGCTCTTCATTACACCTTGGTGACCATCGTGCAGCTTCTGGAGGATCTCAGGCTGTAGCACGGACGGAACCACCAGGCGAAAGCCGTGGCACAAGACACCTTGCATGTGAGACAACTGGCCTCGCTCGCGATGGAACGGCTTGATGTCGTCAGGGACGGTAGCAGGCCAGCCATGGATGACGTAGCGCATCACACTGGACAACAAGGGATCTTCAGACGTAGCCTTGGCTAGGTCGGCGAGAACGGATGGACTCGTGAGATCTTCGGCAGTGGTTGATAAAACCATGCCGATGTCGTCTTGCAGAACGTTGTCAACTGACGCCGATGCTGCCGCTCGTGAAAGCGTGTCGGCCACCACCAGATCCTTGCTGGGAACGTGTATGGCATGGACTTCGCACCCGAGGAAGCTTAGCAGCATTCGGCGGCATCGGATGGGAACCTTGTCCAGGTCTCTGGTGTTGATCAGTGGCACTAGGGGCTTGTGGTCCGTCTGCACGATGAACCTGGGAGTGCCGAAGAGGTACTGGTCTAACCTCTCGCACGTCCACAACGCTGCGAGGCATTCCTTTTCGATCTGCGCGTAGCCTTGTTCCGTCTTGGTCAGGGAGCGAGAGGCGTAGCCTACTGGGCGCCAGTCGCCATCGTGCTTCTGGAGCAGAACACCACCAATGCCATAGCTGTTGGCATCTGCACTGACCATGATGGGACACTTGGGGTAATAGTGCACTAAGCACGGGGCTGAAACAACGAGCTCTTTCAGCCGACGGAACGCGTCCTGCTGCGGTGAGTCCCAGAACCAACCAGTGTTGGTGTGCAGGAGCTGACGGAGGGGCACTGAGATCGTAGCCAATTCCGGGATGAATCTGGCGACGTATGTGAACAGACCCAAGGCACGCCGGAGCTCAGGAACATTTGTAGGCTCTTTGAGTTCGTCAATGGCGGAGACTTTGCTGGGGTTGGGTTTCACACCGGACCCGCTGACGATGTGTCCCAGGTACTTGACTGACGACTGCTTGAGGTGGCATTTGTCGGGGTTAAGAGTGATGCCTGCATCAGCAAGGACCTGGCGCGTTGTGTCCAGCTGGTGGTCGTGTTCAGCTTCGTTAGCGGCGTGGACCAGAACGTCGTCCACGAATACCTCAGAACCTTTGACGTGGGACAGGAAATCCTGCAGGCGTCGCTGGAAGATTTCTGGTGCAGAGGTTATACCGAATGGCATCCGGAGGAAACGGAAACGACCCACAGGCGTGATGAACGTGGTCAGCTTGGATGCAGACTCCGTGAGAGGCACTTGCCAGAAGCCCGCTGTTGGCATCCAGCGTGGAAAAGACAGTAGATCCGGCGAGCCTAGCCAGTGTGTCCTCAACTGTCGGAAGAGGGAAGTGCTCGCTCTTCACGTTGCCGTTCAGCTTCTTTAGGTCTACGCAGATCCGTACGCGACCATTAGGTTTACGAACCGGCACCATAGAAGAGCACCAGTCAGAGGGATCTGTTTCCCGGACGATGATGCCCATTTCCTCCATACGTGCGAGCTCTTCTGTGACCTTGTCCTGTAGAGGCAGAGGCACACGGCGGGCAACACCACATTGGTACGGCGTGGCGTCATCCACAAGCTTGATATCAGCTGGGGGCCCAACCATACAACCGATGGGCTGTGCTGGCTTGCTGGTACACGATTCTGCTGCATCTAAATGCTGGATCAGGCGAAGTCGGGGGCAGTCTCTGCGACTCAACAGGTTGGTAGATCCAGGTCCATCGATAACTACGATCTCCATAGAGAACAGTTCACTCTTGTGCATGGTGTCTGCAGTGAACTGACCCTTGATGGATAGAGGTGCACCGGATGGACTAAGAAGTTTGGTAGTGGATGGTGTGAGTACAGGGCGTTGCACTTGGTCCGGCTCATCGCAATTGTCACTTATCCCCACGCACTTTTTGACAGGTAAAACCCAGTCCAATCACGATATCGAACTTACTTTTGCTTGGGAGATCGTGATGGCAAAATCAAAGGAGGCACCAAGGAAAAAATGATCGCGACTAGCGCTTTGAATCGCGATGTATTCGACTTTTTTGGGAAGTGGGAATCTGGCCATTCACTGTCTGTGTTGTTAAAAGCCAAGCGCGCGCAGAGACCCGAAGACCGGAACTGTAGCAGGGGCAACTGACATCCTGGCCTGGAAAGCGTGACAGGCACGCGTGCACTGCAGAGGAGTATGAGCCCCATGCTGAAGAAGAAAAGTGTTTTTGATGGATGCGCCCGGCCGACGTGTTGGTTGTTCCTTCTCTTAGTGGACCTAGCAGCCGCATTACAAGAGTTGAGGCCAGGGTATCCAGCGAAGCGTATGACAGCTGTCTGGAGAGGCCTGTATGCCTCATTCGAAGGCTTTGTTGAAACACACTGTGGTGACACACAGGTCACACTGCCCACGGTTCCTTCAAGCACCGAAGTGACAGCCACAACTGTTTCTTTCCCATTGCTGCCATAATTATGACAACGCGAGAGATACTCTACCATGTTCCAGTCTATGCCAGCAGCTAGACACCTGCAAATGTCAGCTCATGTAGCCGCGCGGCTCCAGAGATGCGGAGTTGAATGTACTCTGGACCTGTATTACTAGTGTGAGTGCAAGAACGCGCTTCTTCTTCATTTTGCTTACTTTGCTTCCTTTCTTCGACTTGCTTCACCTGATTCCATTGCTGAATTTTTTTTCTTGTAGCGGAGAGTATTCATGTATCATGCTTCCTCACTATGCCTGTTGGAAATTTCACAGAGCGGTAAAAAAACTCCTGTTCTTAGTGGCGATAGATAAGCGACAATTGCGATGAGCCAGACCAAGTACGAGATTCTGATACGTGGAGTGCGTGATACATGATACGTCTGCACCTGTGTCGATCTTGAATATCAAATTTGTCGAGCAAGCAGGCAGACAGGCAGACTTACTGACCAGGCGTCGGTGGACTGGGAAGGACTGGCGTTGGATGACAGCTCTGCAACACCACCCATGAATGGCGACGGGGACGCGAGCGATTCATTTTCGACAGCTCTGGCACCACGCGTGGTTGCTGGAGTGGAAAGACAGACGCCGGCGAAGTCGCCCTGCTTGCCGCATGAATCACACTTGCGACGGAACGCAGGATACGCAGAACGGTTGCTCTTGTGCGAACCAGCGTGGCCACACCACCCACATGTTGAAGCTGCAGTGCCGCTCTTCCTCTGCGTGGATGGCGTTGGTGCAGGCTGCGCTGGCGGCGACTCCTTGCATCTTGCTGCTTTCCTCCAAAGCGGGATGCAGCATTGACCTGCGGCCTGGCGGCTTGCGCTGCAACGTCTCCGGAAATGTTCTCGGCCTGCCTGGCCCTGAGAACTGCGTCCGTGAGGGTGAGTTTTGCGGGCTCAATCAGCTGCAGGTCCTTCGCGACTTGACGATCCAGAATGTGAGCCACGAGGCAATCTCGATATCTGTTGTCCTTCTGGTCACCAAAGTCACAGAACTTCGCTGCTGCCTGAAGTTTCCGAACTAATTCTTCCACGGACTCTCCTGGAAGATGGACGCACTGTTCGAAAATGGTCCTCTGGTGAAAAACATTCAATGCTGGCGTAAAGTAAGCGTCCAGCTTCGTCATGACCTTGTCATACTTGTCCTCGTCTCCAACGGAGTCAAATACCAGTTGATCGAAGACAGTTTCGGCCTCAGGGCTCAGCGAGTAGAGCAACGTAGAGATTTGCACTTTCTCGTCTATCGCGTTGGGCTCTGAGGCGAGGCGATATCTCGCAAACCGTCGTTTCCAAGCCGGCCAGGCATCTGGAATGGAGGAATCAAAGTCGGCAGGCGGCGCGAACTTGGCCATTTCTACTCGAAGTGTAGAAGACCTGGTTGACTAACTTCTGACACCATGTTGTGTCATGTACTGACATAAGGAAGTGCTTTATTCCCGTAGCTATGCAGAAGACGTTACTTCAGTAACGTCTGGCGCTAGCCAGGGTCCACGCAGCTTTAATTCCCGTAGCTATGCAGAAGACGTTACTTCAGTAACGTCTGGCGCTAGCCAGGGTCCACACAGCTTTAATTTGGTGTTTGTGTCACACCTGGAGCTACCGTAACTGTCCCGTATCTGTCCCGTATCTGTGATTTGGTGTTTGTTTGTTTGTGTCCTGCCTGGAGCTACCGTATCTGTCCCGTTATATGTGACTATAAAGGTTCTACAGGATTGTACATAACAGCTGGCCACAAACAGCTGGCCACAGTATTCGTCGTATTATGTATACGACTCCCTGATGTAGAGAGAGATTTGGAAAGAAAATTAATAGGGAGACGAGGTGGAAATAAAATTGGAATGGACGCTAGTTGCGGAATAGGTGATAGGATGCGTCAGCAAAAACATACTTTGGAAGAGAGATCCTTTGGAAGAGAGATCCAGTCGTCTCCAAAATAAACGTGAACGGGCGATTCAGCGCCGGTCACAGAAAACGTCGGAAGAGAGATCCCGTCGAGGCCAGAACGCTCGTGATCGGCAGAGTCAGCCCCGGTCCCTGGAAACGTCAGGGCAGACGCAGAATCGACTCCAAAATAAGCGTGAACGGGCGATTCAGCGCCGATCACAGGAAACGTCGGAAGAGAGATCCCGTCGAGTCCAGAACGCCCGTGATCGGCAGAGTCAGCGCCGGTAACAGGAAACGTCAGGGCAGACATCTCGTCGACTCCAAAATAAGCGTGAACGGGCGATTCAGCGCCGGTCACAGGAAACGTCGGAAGAGAGATCCCGTCGAGGCCAGAACGCCCGTGATCGGCAGAGTCAGCGCCGGTCACAGGAAACGTCAGGGCAGAAATCTCGTCGACTCCAAAATAAGCGTGAACAGGCGAATCAGCGCCGGTCACAGGAAACGTCGGAAGAGAGATCCCGTCGAGGCCAGAACGCCCGTGATCGGCAGAGTCAGCGCCGGTCACAGGAAACGTCAGGGCAGACATCTCGTCGACTCCAAAATAAGCGTGAACGGGCGATTCAGCGCTGGCTCGATTGAAGAAAACACCCTTATGACCCAGCACTTTAGCAGGCGTTCAGCAATTCCGTGACTGTAGCGATCGCCACCCAGTTCCGATCACGACGTGCAAAGGAGGCAAGTCTCCGTCGCAGCCTTACAACTGGGTCCCTCAGAGACAAACAGTGGTGGACGAAGTTGAAGAGCGCCGCAGGCAACCGCACACAGCCCGAAATTCCCCTAATTGTCGACTCTGACGGCCGCAAGTGGGCAACGAGCTCAGAGAAAGCAGAGGCATTCGCTCGCTTCTTCTCGAAGAAATGCAGCGTTGCCGGTCCGGACCTTGTGGAGGCTGACCTACCGGACCCTGCTCCCTCAGATGCTCCACCTCTTCGCACCATCCACTTCCGCCCAGAGGCTGTGCGCCGCCTTCTGACAAAGCTCGACGTCTCCAAGGCTACAGGGCCTGACGGTATTTCTGCTCGCGTCCTTAAGGAATGTGCCCACGAGCTCGCAGAGCCACTGTCCAAGCTATTTGCTTTATGCGGCACTCCGGACAGAACAGGTGAGGCATCTGAGAGAAGTCCGCCTACAAAGACAACTTGCGTTCTGTTGGATAGGTAGTCAGCTGCCACACGGTGTCGAAAGCTTTGTCAGGGTCGAAAAAGCATATGGCAACTTTCCGCCCCATATGACGATAGTCGGCAATGAAACCCAGATTGCGCCGGATCCAGAGCAGGAGAAATAGGATTGTATAATTGATTGAAGAATTGCCATTCGCAAAATTTGGAAATACAGGACAGGAGGGAAATTGGGCGATAGTTACTCGCTTGGGATTTGCTGCCTTTGCACTTGTAAATAGGCAAAAATTTAGCCAGTTTCCAGTTGGTAGAGAACTTGCCTGTGGTAAAGGAGAGGTTAAATGGGTGGCTAAGTGGAAAAGAAATCGCACGAGCTAGTTTCTTTCTTGAAGGAATGCGCAATGGAACTTGTAAAGACACTATCTCAGCTCTTTGCTTCCAACACGGAGTTCTACCTGGAAAAGTCTTCCACGAGCGGCGTCAGATTCGGGTCATAAAGGGTACATGAGATCATTCAACGAGATGCAATATCCCGAAATCCCATTTGCCACATCTCAAAAGAACTTGGACAAAAAGGCCTTTTTACGGTACATTCACAATGTGACTTACAGTTCGTTTAATTTGGTTGTGGCTTTGAACAGCCCGGCAGGTAGGTGAACAAGTTGATTTTCGCCCAAACCTCTGGGAGAACAAAGTAGAATTTGGATAGGATGTATGATCCTGAAAGAATATTGCGTGCTAGTTTGTAGGTGGAGTGTGTGGATTACAGTGAGGGCTGCGTCCCACCCACCTGTATAGATTCACACAAAGTGTGAGTTACGAAGTCTGGAGAAAATGTTGAACGGTTTCTGCTGGGATGACCACTACACCATAGCTCAGTGGTTACAGCATTGCTGGCTACAAGCGAGTGTCCCTGGTTCGAGTCTTGGTGGAGTCAGGCAATTTGTTCTTCAGACTGCTCCTGCTGCCATTGCCGTCGTTTCTGATCTTGTCATTCTTCTAGTTGATGCGGTTCCTGTCACTGCCATGCCAGTAAGTGTCTTGTCCGGTGGTTTTTTTCCGGTGGTCTAGTTAATTGTGAGGTGACGTTGCTTTGTGTTGATGCCGCTGCGTTAGATCATCTTGTACCAGGATGATTCTTTGCTGGACGTCTCCTGTTGTCGGATGCGTGCGTCCAGGTGTTGACAACATTTGGCAACGATGGTGATGGCTGTCTAAAGCACTGACGTCAACGCCAAGCAACAGCAAAGATCGGCACCGACGGCGATGGCAGCGTCTAAAGCACTGACAGCGGCAATGGCTAGGGTCCACACGACTAGCCATTTGGTATCGGTTGTGGCCACCGCACATGCTGATTATTCTGATGTATGAGTCGTCCATCGTCATTTGTTTGAGCATCCTGATTGTTGTGCTGTGTATTCAGATGATTTTGTTCGATTGTGTCATGTGTACGCAGTGCTAGATTGTTTTGAAGCCGTATACATCCACACAAAGAAAATCAACCTTTGCTAGCAAGCATAAGCAAATTAAATTCACACTTAGGCTGTTAGGTAGGTTGTGAAAACCTCTTTAGTTATGTCCAGTGATTATCTCTTGTTGTCGCACTAAATGTCACGCTTATTGAGTTATTGAAACTTCTTCGCGAAGGGGGAGCTGGTTAAGAGACGTTGTTCTCCACACCTTTTAGGTATTTCATTAGATTTTTAGAGCCATACATGTAGCCATGCAACTGCTTATGCCAAATTCCACTCCCCTTTTTAATTAATATTTTGAGGACCACCATCTGCTCACGTCGCACGTTTGGATTTCGCAGAGGCTTCGGCACATCAGACGCTTTGCAAGCTCTCCAAACTGCCTGGGCAAGTGCTGTGGGCTGCGGAGGGGCGGCTCGTATCCTGGCTGTTGACATCGCAGGTGCGTTTGACCGTGTCTCTCATGTCGGCCTCCTCCACAAGGTGCGCAGCCTAGGCATCGATGGTCCGCTCCAGAGATGGCTTGCCTCGTACCTGGACACCCGTTCATTACAGTGCCTTGTTGGAGGGCGTACGTCAGCTTCGTATACGACCTCCGCTGAAGACCCCCAGGGAAGCATTCTTGGTCCAACGCTTTTCCTGGCGTACGTCAACGACGCGCCAGACGTTCTCGCTGACGGCGCCAGCTTGGAGGCCTATGCTGATGACACAACCTTATACAGCTTAGTCACCTCCCAGCAGACTCCGGAAGTCGCAGCGCAGTCACTGCAGGTGTCTGTTGACCGACTGCACGAGTGGGGCCGTACGTGGAAAGTGACTTTTGAACCAACTAAATCCCAGGCCATGACAGCCACCCTCAGAGGCGCCGGCTTAGATCTCCCCTCACTCCTGTTTGGTGGAACACTGGTGCCCGAGACAACCAGCATCACCCTCCTTGGTGTGAAGGTGGACGCCAAGTTGACCTTTGGCGATCACCTACGCTCCGTAGCCACCCGTGCACGCGAACAGCTTGGGGTCCTAAACAGAGCCGCCCACATCCTCACCCCCGCCGGCCGGACGACATTGTATAAGGCGTTCGTACGATTAGTCATGAAGTATGCGCCTCTTGTATGGATGGGATCTGCGCAGAGTCACCTCCAGCGTCTGAACAATGTTCAGCGCCGCGCACTCCATGCTATCGGCCCTGGGGCACACCTACCCAGCTTGGCCATCCGCCGTACTGTTGCCTCGCTTGCCTGCCTGTACAAGCTGCACTACTTGCCTGGTCCACCGCAGCTGCTCTCTGTGTTGCCACCTCGCCATATCACCTCTGCCAACCCCAGAACCCGCAGCGAGCACGGTAGTGTCAGTGGCCATGACCACCAGCTCCAACACCAGCTGCCTGCATCTGCCCCGCTGACACTGAAGCGCTCCTTCCCACACTGCAGCATCAGTGACTGGAACTCCCTCCATGCAGCTCTCCTGTCCCAGCCTTCCCACAGCAAGAGAATGCAATCATTCAAAACGAACGTTTATCGCCATCTTTGCAGCACAAACTGGCTCTGGGCAGTCGATTCCCTATGAATAGTATGATGCTATGATAGTTTCTCCCCACACTCACTCGTGTTAAGCCTTGGGTTTTGCGGGTTTTTCGCATCTTTCTGACTTGTACAGCTCTATCTTCTTCTTTTTTCCTTGTTTTGGTGCGTGTTTTTGGCCGTGACGCCGAGACCTCGAGTCGGCAGAGTCATCAATGCCCCACCATCATTGCTGCGTCTCGGCACAGCGCCTGCTCATTACTTGTCAGTTTGTCCTAGTCTCCGTACCATTGTCTTTCCTTATTCTTTTCGAGCTGGTTATGTGAATATAGTAAAAAAAAGAAAAAAAATCACTGCAAGCCCACTGGTTGACTTGACCAACATCCATTGCTTCTTTCATGACGAATATCAGCAGTGCAACTGTGGCAATAAATATCACCACCTCCAATACCGCACTTATTGGCGGAGCACATTCTACTGGAAATGAAACACTTTAATGTTCAGTTAGTGCTGCTCTGGAATAGTATGGAGAGCAGGGCGGTGAAGGGTTACACGCAAATTCAACATCCTCGCCGATGAGCACTGTGGAGCATGTGCAATGCAGAAACTGCTGTCCAATAGTATACAGAATCTGATTTCCAGGAATCCTTAAATCCTCACACTGCCCCCAAAGGTGAAGAGCACACGCATGAAGAGACGTACATGTAGCTGCTATGTCATCAACTTTGCGTTGAGAGAGTAGCAGACGATCGAATTTTATCCTTCTCCTTCTCCAAGATGAATTGCAATCAGTCTAACGATTTATTTGTGCTCTTTTCTTATGCGCGGAAATATGGCTGTAAGCTGTCCTCAGGGGAGAACATGTTCTAGAATAAGAGCAGTGGGGTTCCATCTGTTCACTTCATGATGGTAGTGATTCAAGCAAACGTGCCCCCTTCTTGTTCCGAAGTTTCAAACACACCAAATTCCATGATGCACTACATTACTAGAATTTATTGCACTGCATCGTCTTGAAAACAATTCCTGTATTGCCTCCATGACATACTAACTTCAGTACTTCGCCGAAGGGAGGCTTCCAGGTCTTGGTAGACTTATTCTCCTCCAGCATGGCCTCATACGACCTCTCCAAGGCACGAATCCATCGCCCCAAAAACAAAAAACTTTCTTCGATAAATTTGAAAAATGAGCAGAAAGACTGCGCGCGTCGGTACGCTGTGCGAACGCGAGCTGTTGCAATGCGGGTTGCTACGGTACGCCGCCATATTGATAAATGCTGGACTCTCTATCGACCAGGGAATCGTAACATATTTTACGACTCCCCGGTCGACATGTACTGCCATGTGTACGGAGTACGGTGTACCGTGTTTGTTAGTGCAAACGAGCTGGCCGCACAAACGAGCCGAGTTTCTGGCGAGCGAGCTAACGAGTACCCGTTGAGATTGTTTTAACACTAGTATGTAGTATCTAGTTAGAGTGATGGAGAGTTATTCTTAACTCGAATTCAAATGTCCTTTTCATTTCTACAGTTATCGTTGGTTCAACATCCGACTTTAATATATTTATTCTCTTCCCTTGTGACTTCTTTCACTTGTGAATTTTTTCTCTTCCCCTCCCCATTACTTCCCATTACTATTATCAATAACCTTGCCATGCCGTGTATGTCGCTCACATGTATAAAAGGAGGCGCCATCGCCTGTTTGTGTAACTCTAAAGCTGGTTTTCCAACTCGGCAAATCAGTTGATCTATGCAACTTTGTGCCTTTGTATCACCTTGACGTTTGTATAGCAAAAGGCATGCAACAATGTTATTGAAAGCGACAGGCTCGGTTGCCGTTCAGGATTCACACCGACCTGTCCACCCGTCAACAGGATCGACAGCGGGAGGCCCCGCTGATGTCGATGTTGATGCACACCAGGAAACTTGTGGTAGTGAGTGTGATACTAACAGGTCTAGTAGCAAGCACTGACAAACGAGAGGCCAGCTGGGGCATTCATTCCAGTCAGGGATGCTTGTTCGACGCTTCGTATCAGCAGCTCAGCTCAGTTTGATCAAACAAAGATGTTGCAGATGTGTTTTGCTTTTCTTCTTCCTTCTTCATCGACTCGTCTTGTCATCTCTCCTTTTTTCTTCACCGACTCTTCGTGTCCACTCTGCTCTGCCACTAACGGCGCATTAAAACTTCAGAACTAAATATTGCGACAGAGCTTTCGGCCATATTTTCAATTCATTGCATTCCCAACTCATCACAACCACGCGCTCTTCAGCCGAACCATACAGACACAAGCAAGGACACTTCCGTTGAGAGATAATATTGCTCCACGCCTCTAGACAGCTGTTTCGCTCCCTGTCGGAGCTCATCAGTAGAGGATGATAATGATGATAATGGAGGAATGATCATTCTTATACACCAGAAATGGCGCAAGTGCGCGCTTTCCACATTATTATATCAATGGCATATGCAAGCTGCTAAAATGGTAAAGTGTGAGAACAGCGATAAATAATCATAGTACGCGCTCATTGGTGGAGAAACACACCACACAGGCGACGAAAATCTTACGCGGAATACTGATGCCAATGGAAAGTACATGTATGTTGTTTATTATTATGATGTGGCAATGTCCATGTATGCAGGCGAGGCGAGACTCACCGCCGTGATCCCCGAACGCGACAGGCTCGGTTGCTGTTTAGGAT